CGGTTGCAGACCGTGGCGTCCAATGACATGCCTTTCGGTGAGTAGTATTGGCGCAGGATTTGGCTCAAAGAGATGGTCGGGTTTTGTTGCAATACTGTCGGCAGTTTGCGGCCGATATTCCAGCCGTCGATTCCGCCCCGGAGTTCGGCCAAAGTGGCCAAAGTTCCGTTTGTGGTCAACTTGTAACTGGTCTGACAGGCCGTCGAGTTCCAGTGGCCCTCAGCGCCAAACAGCACATCACCCGCCGGTATGATAAGCCCGGAGCCGGCGTCGATGCCCAACAGGTCGGATAGAGTGACCGCCAACAGTGGGTCCAACTGGCCGTCGGGCACATTGTCCGGGATGTCTATATTGGCAATGGATTTGATCATTTGGTGCACCGATTTTACCGGCGGCGACAGTAGGCCTACAGCGGTTCCCAAGAGTACCCGATTGGCGGCGATGGCCATATTGCGGTCGTGACGGAAACTGACCACTCCTTTCTCGCGGGGCCGTCGGGTCAGTCGTATATTACTCGGACCGTTCACTGACCTACAAATACAATCAATTAAAACATTAATTATAATTATAAAGTCACACAAATCAATGCAATACATACACCGGTATATTAATGCCTTTGACGGGTCCCTTAACTGGGACTTTGACAGGAGGGGCGAGTGCGGCGGGTCCGTGCACTGGTCCGTGTACCGGGCCTTTCGCTGGCCCCTGAACTGGTCCGTGAACTGGTCCGTGCACCGGGCCTTTGGCTGGACCTTTGACGGGGCCGTGTACTGGTCCCTGAATCGGTACATTCACTTGCCTTCGCCGCCTACGCCTCCTGTCGTCGACCTCTTCGTCGGTGTCCTCCGCGGGAACGACGGGAGCGGCGGCCGCGGTCTCCTTCCTCACGTCCTGTCCCTTCGCGGGTCCGACCGATTTGTTTTGTTGTGTGAGAAACTCGGACTGAATGGGCGCCGGACTCTTGACGACCACTGTTTTGTTGGACGGTTTGGGCGCCGATCGGGACAAGTGAATGGTCTTGTGATAGGTGTGGAGCGGGTCGTCGTCGTGTCGGGCCGTTTCGTTCACTGTATGCGAAAGTGTGTAAAACATTTGACACTTTTCGTCTTCTGTGAGCGCGTCCTCCGGGAAGTCCAATGGACTGACACTAACGCCAGACCCGCCGGCGCTCACACTCTGGCCCATAATCTCTTCGGTGATCCGCCTGTGTTTCATCTCGATCTGGGACTGCATGTTCACCAAACCGGTCAAATGCAGACCATCGATGTGGAACCTATTGGTGGCCAAATGGTAATTAAGCATGTTTTAAATGTTACACAGTTATAAGGTTTTGACGGCGGATAGGGAGCGGTATATTTGTGGCTAAACATTTAATGTCATTTATAATATATTATGTTTATTTAAATAATTAAGGTTATAATAGTTAAATTATGATCAAAATCAGGATTGACCTTGTAGAAATCTTAATTGTTAGTATTTATAGTAATGTTTGAGTGGCTTGCGTGACAGTTAATAAGTCCACACCCCTAGTCTCTCTCTCTCTCTCTCTCTCTCTCTTTCTTTCTTTGCTTTAGTAATATAATTTAGCTATAGTTTAGTTTAATATCTAAATTGTTTGCAGGTTTTAATTATATATAGTTTATGATTTAAAATGCTAAACATATGCTTCCAAAGCATCGAAATAACAGAATATTCTGTGAAAGCATTTAAATGAATTGCTGATTGAAGTGGACATACCTTCTGAGTATAAGTACGACAATCTGTTGGGCAGTCATAAGGGGTAGTTTGGACTCAATCTTTTCAATAAGTGATATGAGGTTCTCAATGGAGAGTCCGACCGGATTTCTCTGACCCAAAGTGTATGGCTTTCGGTCGTACGTCTCGTTGAAACACCGGTCGCCTATCAATGTGTGAAACTTATCCAAATGCACTGAAATGCACATAATTGGGACCATCATCGTAGCCAATATCATCAATGTCTTTAATGGGGCCATTGTTTATGATTTATGATATATGTTGTGACTGATGGATGAATGTAAAAATATATGAACACTAATTAAAAATCAGAAACTACTGGTAAGTAGAGATGAGTTCATTGGACACTCGACACGATATATCACAATAAGTATATTCGCAATAAACTAATACTTATTGATTTGTGAATGTGGTTATATATCAAATGAGAAAAACTAAACTGATCTAGAAACAAATATTTTATGAATTAAAACAACACAATTACTATTAAACACTATTCGGAAGTTAGCACAATGTTTAGTCACACTGTTATACATAATTTTGATATGTATTTTCAAATTTACTTTTATCTCTTTGTTTTATGATTTCATGGCTATTAAGTAAGAAATATACAGTCGAGAGACGACTATACGCGACCGTTGATTAGTAACGGAAATATATATTTGTTAGTTATATACCTATTGTATTAGTACAACACCTATAGAGTCGTAAAGTATTATTATTTATAATGAATTCTTATATGAAACTCATATCTAATCTGATAACAAGTAAAGAGAATAAAACTGTTTGTTTGTCTCAGTTTTTGCAAATTCATTGAAACACTCAATTCAGCTCAAGCTAACTAACTAGAGCTATGAATGAATTTTAAATAGTATTTTAAAATTTACATATTCATATCATCATGATTGAATATAGACATGAGCACTTTACAATGTTGTTATATCTTTTATAGTAATTTATATCCTTTTCACAATTAATTTTAAAAATAGATATTGATAACTGGATTCAATTGTAATAGTGTTTTGTTTAGTTTCTGAAATGACTTTTATATTGATAAATTTATTGACTTAAATCTCGCATTAAACAAATAAATTGCGAAAATATTCGCCTTGTTTTGTATTTTATAGCATTTGTATTATAAATATAAAAATCTCGCTTATATTAAATGCACATTACAATTTATTGATTCTTTTTAATAAATTAACATGCTTGTTTATAAATAACGTACTCTCGGGTGTATCGTATTCTACTATTTTGAAAATATACTTTTAATCAATAATTCATAAAATATAATTCAATATGAAAATCGTGGTTTATTTTTTAAAAATGATCTTGATCGACTTTAAAATTCTAATAAATCTAAGAGCTGTTAATCATAAAATAATAATATATTTATTCAAAACATCCATCTATTTCATTTACTTAATCTTGACAACTCATCATAACATTTGCTTTTTCACACAGACATCAGAATAATTGTAATAAAACAACAATCAATATGTTTGACCAATAATACAATTATTATTTCATATATACTTAAAGTGGGAGTAAATGATTAAATTCTTAATGAATTAGTATTTTGTTATGTTTTCGTCGATTTATCGTAAAACAAATTTATGGCTAAATATTTGCCGGCAATAAATGTTAAGCAAATGTTTTACTATTGAATCATATTTACAGTGTAATATTGTTTGAATATAATTGGTGCCAATATTATGGCATATTATGTATAATAAATTGGATTATAATAGTTATTTAAATACTCAACATATTTTGCGATAAAATAAATTTTCAACAAATATTTAATCATTTCTTAAAACTTCACAAATACTTATAAATTAATCCTTTCCATATAAATTTACAAACTATCTTATGTTTGAGCTTGTTCAATATTTTCTACTAATAATTAAGTACTAATTTTTTTCATTTTAAAATTTTTAAAGTATGAATACCCAATTTAATTAATAATATCTAACTAATAAAACACCAAATATTACATATACTTTATTCAATATTCATGAATATTATTCATTTAAGTCTCTTATCAAACAATTCATAAATTGATTCTCATGTCAATGCA